TCATGTTACAACCCTGGCCCAATGCCTTCTTGTGGCCAAATTCCAAAATTTAATCATGTCGTATGACAAAATTTGCTTCCAGCTTCTCCACCCCCATCTTTTTAATTAAACTGAACGGATCGTGACCAGACTCTGGAACAGACACCCCATGGGGCTGGTGCAGGCACCTATCCTGGAGATTTCATAGATTTCATAGACATCAGGGCTGGAAGGGACCTCGGAAGATCATCGAGTCCAGCCCCCCGCCCAAAGGGCAGGAAGTCAGCTGGGGTCATAGGATCCCAGCAAGATAAGCATCCAGTTTGCTCTTGAAGGTGTTCAATGTAGGCGCTTGAACCACCTCCGGTGGCAGGCTGTTCCAGACCTTGGGGGCTCGGACAGTAAAGAAGTTCTTCCTTATGTCCAGCCTGAAACGGTCTTGTCGTAGTTTATGACCATTCGACCTAGTCGTCATCCCTTGGGGCGCTCTGGTGAACAAACGTTCCCCCAGATACTGGTGGTCACCCCTGATAAACTTATAGGTGGCCATCAGATCACCCCTGAGCCTGCGCTTTTCCAGGCTAAAGAGCCCCAGGGCTCTCAGCCTGTCATCGTAGGGTCTGCTTCCCTGACCTCTGATCATGCGCGTGGCTCTTCTCTGGACTCTCTCAAGCTTCTCCACATCCTTTTTGAATTGTGGAGCCCAAAACTGGACGCAGTACTCCAGCTGCGGCCTCACCAAGGCCGAGTACAAGGGGAGAATGACGTCCCGGGATTTGCTTGAGAAGCATCTATGGATGCAAGCCAGCGTTTTGGTCGCTTTACTAGCCGCCACATCGCATTGCAGGCTCATGTTCATCTTGTGGTCAATGATGACCCCCAAGTCTCTTTCTTCCATAGTGCTAGCCAACATAGCACTGCCGAGCCTATAAGGATACTGCGGGTTTTTCTTCCCAAGGTGGAGAACCTTGCATTTATCGGCGTTGAACACCATCAGATTCTCATCCGCCCACTTGCTGAGCCTGTCCAGGTCAGCCTGGATCACCCGCCTGTCTTCTGGTGTGGATGCTTTGCCCCAAAGTTTGGTGTCATCGGCGAACTTGGCCAGTCCGCTCTTCAAAAGGAGACTGGACGCACACCTTGCTGGGGTTATTTGACCCCAGCAGCCTTTCCTGCCCAGAGCAGGGGGGCTGGAGCTGATGATTTCATGAGGTCCCTTCCAGCCCTAAACTTCTGTGAATCTGTGCCCTTGCTCTTGTGTTAAAAGACAGAGGTGGTGCTCTCCCCTACCCTGGGGGTCTTCAAGAGGAGGTTCCTGCTTATGCAGGGGGTCGGACTCGATGATCTATTGAGGTCCCTTCCGACCCTAACATCTGTGAATCTACATGGAAAACAGGAGCCCCTGATCATCTCCTCAAGACCTTTCAGTACTGGATATGGTTTTTCCCATGTGCCTCCTTTCTGAGGTAAGACTTAACATTGAGGAAGTGGAGTGACAGAGCACAGGCAATTAAAGGTTAAATATATGCATGTGGGGAGAAGACACAAGCCTGGTATTCCCTGTGCAGACTCATGAGGACGCCTGCAGATGGGGAATATACGACAGAAACACCAATGTGACAGTGGAGAAAGAATGAGAAATCTCACAGGGTGAGGGCAAGCTTGAACATTCAAGCTGGTGTCCCAGTTGTCTGATGGCCAATTTAGTGGTACAGTGAGTTTGGTTTGGGACCAGACCTTTAATGAAGCCAGGTCCCTTTCAGTAGCTGTTTACTGTACATCCCAAGACAAAAAAAAAAAAACACATCAATGCTCTGCCTGCATTGCTAGAGGAAACCTCAAGTAAGATATGTGTTTTCTCAGTACATGTCACTAAGATATGATACTACTGCTTGGAAGAGGGAAATAACCGACTAACCAGCAGAGCCCTGCCTGTTGTATTCACCCCTCAGGTCAGTTAAGGAGAGGCTGTGAAAAGACAACCAGCTCTCACTGGCCTGAAGGCTGGTGGCTGCAAGAGGACTTAGGAAAAAGAAACCTCACAGCTGCATCGTAAGCAAAGCAGCCAACACTTGCCTCGGAACAATACTACACAAACCTCAACTGTGAGCAGGTCAAAATCTCTGGCATGGTCTTTAACAGCTTGTTTTTTCTCCGTCTTGAGCTTTTTCCGCTTTTCTGGCTGCTCCTGGTTCCTCTTCCTTTTCTGAGATCCTTCCTCATGGTGGGTCTAAGGCAGATTTTAAGGGGTAGAAAAAAAGAATTTGAAGAGATGGTTGCTGTGCTCCACAACAACTACACCAAGGAAGAACAAAGTTACTAACCACTCCAGTTGAGAGGAAAAGACTAGAGAGTTCAGGCTGACAAGAGAATTCCTCTGCAGTCTCCTATACTCAAGTCTTTGTATCTGTTCAAGTTTCTTCCCTCCCCCTCTCTCTCTCTCTCTCACACGCTTGGTACAAAACAGTTTGAGCAAAGTCATTATGGAGTTAAAGCCAAACAGCAAGAAACCTATAGTCACCCCTCCTGTCAAAAAACTTAAATGAGGCCCTTATTTACATAGGCATTCCCAGAGTGGCTGAACCAGATTTACCAGGGGCCTAGATTCTGAACCAACTGTGCACTCAAACACGTTCTGAGCTCACAAGACAGCAACTAGGCCAGAGGCTGACAATAAACGTTTGGTTCGCCCAGGGGCCACACTCCTCAGCAAGCAACTTTGCTAAATTTTGAAACACTTTCAAAATAGCAAAGTAACGGACCCTGAAGGCTCCACGGAACATGAGAAACCCAAAGGTTTGTTCAAATTTCTCCCTCATGCAAATCCACCAAGAGCAGTGTCATTACATCAGGGCTGAATCTGGCCCAGCACTGCTATCTCAAGGCAGACTGCACAGCCTCAAACACCCATGAGATATTAAAAAAGGCAAAGATTTGTTCATTACATTGAATTAACTGTTTGCCAAAACAGTCAGCAAGTGTCAGATACTAGCGATACTTTTAAGAGTCATTTAAATCCTAGGCTCCATGATGAAGACCAGTATTAATGAGCTGAATACTGCAAACTGTACTCAGACAAGAATGTCAAAGTACATGGAAGCAAGGACCACAGAGCCAGCTCATGTTATTCAGCACTGGAATAATTCATGAGCAGATTTGCTCTGCAAGTGAAAGCAACTCACATCAAATAAGTTATCCCGCTCTATTGACTGCCTGGCTGCTCTCCCCTTTTTGGGTTTCTTCTGGGTACCACCTCGAGGGAAGCTTTCTTCAGTAGATGCCATAGTTGCATTTCTAAAGGAAAAAGAAACAAACAGTAATGAGATCTGCAACTGTCACCACTGTTCTACATCAGAGCTGGAGTGACATGACAATAAAATGTCTTGAAGCCAAAGAGAAAGCAGTTTGATTTATTTGCAGTCAGGAAATGATAAACACTTTATCTGACGGCAACTCAAAGTTTAGAAAAAAAATAGCGGCCTCTGAGAACATGTCAACGCGCATTTCAAGATGTCAGCGATACAACACATCAGCTATCAGAATTCTTAACATGTTTTCAACTCTCTAACATTTTTACATTATCAGGCTTGTAACCGAGTACTTTATACACATTAAGGATGATACTTTAACCTTGGACATGATCTGAACCGATTCCCAGTAAACAAAGCAAATTGATGTAAAGCAAAACCATTTGAAATCAGCACGTAGGAAACCTTATTTTAAATCCTTTCAATTTCAACGCAGATGCCGTATGTGGTTCCTGGATGCCTCCAGCCACAGGCGCTCTCAGCCCCATTGGTGGTGCCACTCCACTCCACCCTCATGAGTGGGTACCTGCCGCAGAAGCTGCAGGAAGACAGGACAGCCCAGGGACTCGAGAAGCAGCAACAAAAATAAAAGAAGGGAGCAGTGCCCAGACCACGAGCCCAGGGACCACAGATTAATCCCTTGGGGACAGTTGGACAGCCCCGCTTCAGACAAACCACTACAGAGTCAGACCTCATAACCTCACGCAGGTTGTTCCAGCAGTGCCTCAACAGCTGCAGGAATCGGTGTTGTATTTTGCAGCTATCACCTGGTGCTAATTCTGGATCAACACGTGCATGTTTAGACAGAGCAGTGCTTCTCAACCTTTTTTTTTTAAAATCCGGATCCATTCGGATGTGCTAAACATCTACGGCCAGCCCTGACCTAGCGTCCCTCACCCCCACCCCTCAGTGTGCGGGGCAAAGGGGGTGCACGTGGGGTAGGGGGAGCCTCAAGCAGCTCCTCGGAGGCTGGACTCTGACAGCCTGCAAGACAAAAGCCACTATTTCCCATATTTTTAGGAAACATGGAAAATGTTTCTTCATTTTTAAAGGAGAATCCATTTTTAAAGCTTTTTCATGACCCTGTCACACATTCTTGCGACCCGCTTTTGGGTCACAACCCATAATGCTGAATTCAGAGGATGCTGGCAGCTGAATGGGTCATTTTAGGCAGAGGTTCTGACACTCGGTGGTGAATCAAAGTTACAGCACTTCCCTGGGGGCACGTGAAAACGTGCTAGCACGCCCAAATTCTGAGGGAGGTCCTTCCATTTTACTTCGGAAGTTTCCCTGCAAAACTGGAAATACCAAACATGCAACAGCATTCTCCATTTCCCATTCTAAACCACGGTTGATCGTCACCTTGCCGCCACTCCCATCCCATTTCAGGCGCAACGGGATGTTACTGACAGAATGAAACAAACACACGAGTCAAAGCTAAGTACTCCTTCAAACAGAGAGAAACCCCTGTCAGATGTATTATACATCAGAGAACGGAAACCAGAAAAAAAGAGCAAGATCGGGCAACAAAGGCAAACTGGGCCTAGAGAGCTCCTGGCCCGGCGACACCACAACCCCGCGCTCACCTCGCTCAGCAGCACGCACAAGGTAGCCTCAGCGTCACCCGGAAGTACTACCCCTGAGGAAGGGAGGGCAAAGGTCAAGCGGTTTAGCCAATCCGCGGCTCCTTGTGACGTCATGTCCGCTGCGCGAGGCGAGAGCAGCGCAAGGGGGTGGGGGCGGAAATAGACGCGATTGGGGCTTCCGGGCGCCGCCATTTTGCCGGCGAAGGGCACGGAGCGGCAGGGCGGCGGGTGAGGTTAGTGTGGCGGAGAGGAGAGGAGAGGAGGCTGGAGCGGGATGGAGAGGGGACGGGTTGCTCCCCGTCTTGTCTGGTAGATGGCCAGAGCCGGGGAGCAGGTCGGGTGTGCGGGAAAGGCTGAGGCCCGTCAGGGCAGCTACAGGCCACCTTAGTACGGGTGCCCGCTCGGGACATTTCTTGGGACACGGACGGCAGGGCGCGTTCGTCCCAGCCCAGGCGTGATGGATGGGCGGAGCGATGCTGCCCAACGGGGGTGTGAGATCCTTGATCGAAAGCAAAGGCTGGGAAGAATAATGACGGGGTCTCAAGCTGTTGTTCCTGGCGTTGTTGTTGTTCGTGGGGCTTTTTTGGTTTATTTCCTAATCCAATATTTTCGTAAATGCACGCTGGAGTTTGTCGCGCCGGTTAATTTCTCATCGTGGGAGAGTCGGAGCACGGCGGAGCGGCGATGTTTGTTTTAGCAGCCCTCCACAAAACTCGTGTGTCGGTACAGCGATTTGTCAGTTGACCACGACCGTAAATGACAACGTGCCCCGTAGCACGCTAACGGCGCACGTCCCTGTGTCATAGGGACTCAAATTTGAGTTTGTTTTGGTGTGCGAGTTGTGTCACCATCTCCTCCAAACCTCGTCTGAGGCAGAGCTGGGGACCGAGGTGCAGCAAACCGTAACGGTGACCTTTTCGTGGTGTCGTGGGGTGGCTGGCAACATGGGCCCCGAACGGAAAGAGCGGACTCGCCTGCTGTGGGGGTTGTGACAAGGTGATTCGCAAAGAGACGTTCATTCTTCCCTCCCGGCCGTAGTCGCAGCTGGAGCACGTACAATGCACGTCTACCTCTGGAAACTTGACTCCAAAGAACTCCTTAAAATCCAGATCTCGTTGTGTTGGAACTAGAGGTGCGCCGACGCGTCGGTCCAGCCAATCAAACGCACCGATCTGGGGGCCACGTGCCTCTTGTGGTGGCGGGAGCCTCCCAGATGAGCCACTTGGCGCTCGGTGCCACGCCCCAGCTGGACTGCACCTGCCCCCCGCTGCACCCCCTCCCTCGCTGCAGGGGCCTCCATCTGGAAGACTGTTTCAAGGCTCAACATCAGGAAAAGCTTCTTCACAGTCAGGGTGTCCAGGCTGGGGAATAAGCTCACTTGAGAGGTGGTGCAGTCACCTACCCTGGAAATCAAGAGGAGACTGGATGGTCACCTTGCTGGGGCCATCCGACCCCATCT